GAGGGAGGGGAAGGAAGAAGACAAACCTATAGGTCCACCTGACTCCGAGGGTGTGTGTGTGTGTGTGGAGACAAGAAGGGGTTCCCACCTGGAGGAAGCCTTGTGTGTTTGTGTGTGTGTGTGTGTGTGTGTGTGTGACTGTGGGTGGAGGGAGCTGGCTCAGTCGAGGGCGGGAACGCTTGCAGGGCAGGAAAGAGGGGGCGGCCGCCGGAGCCTTGCTTGCGCTGCAAAGGAGTGGGCTGGCTTCTTGGCCCTTTTCGGTGGGTTGTGGATGGATGCGGAGGGCTGGGTTGGGGGGCGGGCTCCCCCTTTTCGGGGTCCTTGCTGCGCCTACGGCAAGGGGGGCTCCCTTCTTGGCTGGGTTTTGGGGGCGCCAAGGATAAGGATGCTGCTGCTGCTGCTGCTGCCTGCTTTGGGGAGGAAATGTCGCAAGGATGCGCCGCGGTGGCCTTGCCTTGCCTTGCCTTGCCTTGCCTTTCAGCCTAGCAAACCTTTCTTCTGGGAGGGGTTTCATGGGGGGCTAAGGGAGAGGGTCGCCCCCTCTCAGCCTCTTTGGGCCTCTCTGGAGCCGAGGGGCCAAGGAGGACCAGGCGCCGCCAAATGGAGGACCTTCCAGGAAAAAAAAGGAAAGCTCCCCACACACTCCTGGCAATGTACACTTTGCAAACTCATGGCTTCTCCAGTCAAGCTCAAAATGGAGGACTTTCTTTTTTTTTTTTTTGGCATGTCTCCTGGAGGGAAGGGTGGGATGGAGGACGCGTCCTGGGAAAGGAGGACGGACGGCCACCCTGGAGCATTAAGAACATTTGGTTCTGGTCCAAAGCATTGTTGGCTTTTCAACAGACCCTTCTTCTGTCAGAGAGGCGTTTTTATCCCCCTCCTGGGCAGAAGGTTGAATTGTAGGGTGTGTCCTGGAAAAGGAGGACGGGTGGCCACGCTGAGACCCGGAGGAACGAAGCCGCAGCTCCTTCTGTGGAGCAGGGCCGTGGTGTCAGGCGTCCTACATTTCCAGGACACGCCCTACATTTCAGGCTTCTGCCCAGGAGGAATTCCACATTGCCCTCCTTTTGGAGCATGGCAAAGGAGCATGGATTTAAATTTAGATTAGTGTTTTTTTGTTTTGTTTTTTTAGCTATGATTTGGTCAGGTCCTCCGTTTGCCTTGGAGGTCCTACATTTCATGGTGCCTTGTCCTCCTTGGCAGTGAGGACATCGGGTCACCCTGTGTGTAGTATTATGTTCAAACAATGGGAGCCAGCGTGGCGGAGTGGTTTCGGTGCTGGACCACGACTCTGGAGACCAGGGTTCGAATCCTGGCTCAGTCATGGAAACCACCCTGGGTGACCTTTGGCATTACACACTCTCTCAGCCTCAGAGGATGGCATGGCCAAACACCACCACCCCGCTCTGAAGACGCTTCCCAAGAAAACCCTGTGCTAGGTTCACCGCCCTAGGGTCGCCATAAGTTGGAAAGGACTTGAAGGCGCACAACTAATTGTAACTCTCTAGTAGCAACAGTAGTAACATGGAGGGACTTCATCCTGTAACCCTCTGCAACGCATAGCAAGCCTCGCCTGGGACGGAATTGCTGTTGCAATCAAGCATAGCAAAATGCAACAATAGCCGTAAGGTTTGGGACACCTTTGTTGGCTGACCCAAATGCGGGAAAGGAAGCATGCAGGCTTTCCAAGCCCCACCGGCTTCTTCATCATGCAAAAGACGCTTTAAAAAGACCATAAAGGATTGATGAAGAAGCCAGTGGAGCCTGGGAGGCTTGCATGATTTAGGCCAGAGGTAGGCAACCTTTCCCCTTTAAGGGCCGAGGGACTTCAGCTCCCAGAATCCCAGGAGCTATTGGCCAACATGGCTGAGGCTTCTGGGAGCTGAAGTCCCTCGGCCCTTAAAGGGGACAGGTTGCTTACCCCTGATTTAGGCCCTGCATTTTCGGTTGGCCAATAAAGGTATCTCTCTTGTGGATCCTCAGCTCCAGAAAACCCTGTGATAGAGTTGGGCTAGCTTCAGACATTGGTTGCCTAAGTTACAAATGACCAGGGTGACCCGCTGTCCTAACCACAAAGGAGGACAAGGCACTGCCTAATGGAGGACATGACCAAAGAAAAGCCAAAAACAATACAAATATAAATTCATCCTTCTTAGTCATGCTCACAATGGAGGACATTGTGGAATTCCTCCTGGACAGAAGGTTGAAATGTAAAGGACCATTTCCTGGAAAAGACAATAATGCTGGGAAAGGTGAAGGGAAGTAGGAAGAGAGGAAGGCCATATGCTAGATGGATGGACTCTATTCAGGAGGTCACAGCTATGAAGGGGTTGCAGGAATTAAGCAGAACAGTGGAGGACAGAGGGTCTTGGAGATGTCTCATTCATAGGGTCACCATGAGTCGAGATCAACTCGAGGGCAGTTAACAACAAAATTTCCTAGAAAAGGAGGACATCTGGTCGCCTCTCCTGGGATTCTGGGAGCTGAAGTCCCTTGGCCCTTAAAGGGAAAAGGTTGCCTACCCCTGAGAAGGCACACTACAACAAATTACTTGAAGGCACACAAATTTTGCTGCATGGCCAACACAGCTACTCAATAGGTTCCCTGGATTGGAATAAAACTACTGTTTTGGACATCTCAAGGCAAAACCGAGACCAATATAAAAAGCCAATCTCTAAAGTCAGCTCGGCCTGGCTCAGTCACACAGCCAGCAAGTGGTTGTCAGTGTTGCTGACTCCTTTCCCTGACCACGTTTCCTCTCTCCAGCCACCACACCATTGGGCCTCCCCACAGCAGTCCCTTTACAGGCCACACCACACACTGGGCTCTGCACACAGGGCAAGAGGCAAGTAGGCAAGGTAGCCATGGGGCTTTGTTTCTTCCCAACCAAGACGTATATGGGAGCAGCAGGAAACAACAAAATCTCATCTGGGGAAGTAGACCAGGCCTAGGAAAGCTCAGGCTGCAACCTCTGCTGTATCCACACTGCAGAAATAATCTGGTTTGGCACCACTTTTAACTGGCATGGCTCCATGCTATAGGATTCTGGTGCCAAACAAACTACAATTCCCAGAATCCCATAGCATGGAGCCATGCCAATTAAAAGTGGTGCCAAACTGGATTATTTCTGCAGTGTGGTTGCAGCCATCCCTTTGCACACTTCAAAAACTAGTTACACTTGATTTAGCACAAGCGTTTATGCACCAATGACCAAATGCACCCCACGAGACTCTGGGCTTGGGATCTGAGGAAGTAGACCAAAGCTTATGCTACAACTTGTTTAGCACATCCAGTAACAACAAAAATCCACCAAACAGTGATACTTTTGTTGGGTCAACCAAAATGCACAAATATACATGTTGCAAGCTTTCAGAGCTTCACTGGCTTCTTCATCAGGCAAAATGGTACAAATCAAACAGGAGGAAAAAATTGAAAATGTTATTCATAGGCCTGCATTTTGCTGTTTCTCCTCTTAGTTACCAGTAAGATGGTATGGAGGGGCATAGCTTGCAAGCTAGTATCTCCTCCTCCTAGCCATGTGTCAACTGGGAGATTTTCAAAGTTAACAGCAAAATTTAACATCAAAAGCATGAAGGCTTCTTGAGAAATCCAATGTCCTCCACCTACAAAAGGAACCTGTAGCTTCAGAAAGGGATGGAGACATGTTGGATTCCAAAGGAAGTATCTTTTTTGTGTTGCAAATGGATGTTAAATTTCCTGGACTTTGAGAATCTCTGTTACCACATGGCCAGGAGGAGATACCAGCCTGCAAGATATGGCCCTCCATACCATCTTAATTAAGGGCCTTTACAGACTGCCAGAAATAATGCAGCTTGAGTCCACTTTAACTGCCCTGGCTCAGTGCTAGGGAATCATGGGAACTGTAGTTTATTATGGCACCAGAGCTCTCTGACATAGAAGGCTCAATGTTTCAGAAAAAAACTACAGTTCCTATGATTCTCTAGCACTGAGCCAGGGCAGTTAAAGGACTCAAGCTGCATTATTTCTGGCAGTATAAAAAGGCCCTAAGAGAAGCATCAAAATGCACGCCTATGACTAAGATCTCCAATTTTTTTTCTTCTGTTTGATTTGTATCACCTTGCCTGATGAAGAAACAAGTGGAGCTTCAAAAACTTGCAACATGTATACTGTGCATTTGGGTTGGTGCAATAAAGGCATCTCTGTTTGGTGGATTTTTGTTGTTACTGGATGTGCTAAACAAGTTGTAGCATAAGCTTTGGTCTACTTCCTCAGATCTCAAGCCCAGAGTCAGCACATGTACCATACAGTTGGCCCTCCATATTCATGGATTCCACCATCCAAGGCTTGAAAATATATATTTTAAAAAGGTATCAATTTTAAAAAGCAAACCTTCATTTTGCCATTTTATATAAAGGATACCATTTTACTAAGCCATTGTGTTTAATGGGACTTGAGCATCTATGGATTTTGGTATCTATGGTGTGTGTGTGTGTGTTCTGGAACCAAACTCCAGCTGATAGCAAGGGCCCATTGTACTCTGGATTCTGGCTATCTTTGGCACTGCCAGACCTAATTATCCTTCAAGTAACAGTGGATAAGGTGAAACTTTTCCCAAGACCTAAGTTTGCAAATAGAATCCAAAGACATGGGTCCAATCCACACTGCAGAAATAATCTTTGTCTGAGACCACTTTAACTGCCCTGGCTGAGTGCTAGAGAATCCTGGGATCTGTACTTTATTGTGGCACCAGAGCTCTCTGACAGAGAAAGCTAAATGTCTCATAAAACTACAGTTCCAAGAATCTCTTTAGCACTGAGCCAGGGCATTTAAAGCAGTCTCAAACTGGATTATTTCTCCAGTGTGTTTTGCACCATAGCCACGTTAGTCTGCTAAATCAGTATGCAAAGGGATCTTGTAGCACCTTTGGGACTAATGGAAGGAAAGAAGCTGGCAGCATGAGCTTTCATAGACTTGAGCCTACTTCTTCAAATGCATGGGATAGGAGTTTAGAAAGTTACTGTTAAGAATCCTAAATCTAACAGTAATGCTGAAGCTGACTGAACAATGGCAACATAGAAAGGACGAAGGGAGTGGGAAAACAATACTGAACTAGCAGCCCCCTTAAGACTAACTGGTATTTATTTTAGCATGAGTTTTTGCCACCTCTTCCAATGCAGTATAGTGATGTCCAGGCCTCAGGATATAAAGCACATTTACACTGTTGTGGGAGTGGGATGGGATGTAATAGGACCCAGAAACATGCAAATCATTACACTATGGCAAGATGAAACTCTGGCTCCCCAAGTATCATCCCACCACAACTCATTTACAGGTGGCTTCAGCATTGTTATTATGGTCTTTTTTCCCTCTTAAAAGTAAAAACTCACACTATAATCAAGACAACTGCTTGCAGTTAGTAAAAACAGTGGGTTAGAAGAACAAAGCCTTATTTGCTCTAAGGTGCAAAACATGCTGCAGAAATAATTCAGCTTCAGACCACTTTAACTGCCGTGGTTCAGTGCTAGGGAATTTTGGGAACTGTAGTTTTGTGAGACAGCCTTCTCTGTCAGAGAGCTCGGGTGCCACAATAAACTGCAATTCCCAGGATTCCACTGAGCCAGGGCAGTTGAAGAGGACTTAAACTAGATTATCATGCAATCATGCTGGCCACATGATCACAGTGTAGTCTCTGACAACATTGGCAAGTATTTTGGACCTAAGGCAGCTATTTGACCATGGTCCAAAACACACTGCGAAAATAATCCAGTTTGAGACTGCTTGAACTGCCCTGGCTCAATGTTAGGGACATCTGGGAGCTGTAGGTTTGTGAGACATTGAGCCTTCTCTGTGAGAGAGCTCTGGTGCCACAATAAAGTCCAGTTCCCAGGATTCCCTAGCACTGAGCCAGGGCAGTTCAAGCAGTGTCAAACTGGATTATTTCTGCAGTGTGTTGGACCCATGTGTTTTTAATACTTCTAATACTCAAAAGCAATGCTCCTGCTGAACATCATTTTCTAAATAGTGCCTTTTGCTTAGATGAATTTTGTCCTTATAGGAACAGGAGCAATTCACGATTCTGAGTCTGTTATCCAAACAAGACTATGCAATCATTTATAAAATAACTGAAGTACTTTTTCTCAGGTCAGCTGCTGCTGAGATCAAGTGTGCTGGCAGTGGAGGGCCTCCTTTCAAGGCTAAAGGCTGACAACCTATCACTTCTGCTATTACTGAAGAGCCTGTTATGATGCTGCTAGGGAATAGGATGCATGAATTGCAGGAGCCCAGGGGAAATTAGTCATTTCTTTTGTTTTGTAATGTGGGCATGCCCTCTAGAGGATAGAA